GCCCGGGGGGTCGCGGTTGGGCCCCCCGACCCCGGGGTCGCGCAGAGCACTCTCCAGGTGCCGGGCCTCTGCCCGCAGCGCGCGGCGGCCTGGGTTGGGGGGCCCGGCTGGTGCAGGTAAGCGGCCCCCGCACCCCGCCGCCGCTGCCCGTGAATTATGCAGGAGGCTGGCACTGGTGCGCTCGAGTTGCTCAAGTTTCCCTGGCAACTTTCGCCTGGGCATCGCTCCTCCCGGCGGCCGGGCAGCTCCGCCCGCGCAGCCGGTGGCCCGGGCGCCTCCGCAGGGTGGTCAGGACTGGAGCACCTGGAGGCGCCAACCGCGCACTCGCCACCTGAGCTGGGTCCACCGATTGCGCAACAGGTGAGACCTCCGCCCAGCGTGGAGGGGGCGGGGGCCGTGGTGGACCTCCGTGGGGAAGGGTGTGCTCCGTGGGAGAGCCTCGCCGCCGGGTTCGGAGGGTGCGGGAGCCGGGGTAGACCTCGCGGCCCAGGAGGTTGGCGGGTGCAGGCCCGCGGCGTGCCGCCCTTCCCGCGGGCCTGCTTGCGGGCGAGGTGGTGTTTCCATAGAGCCGGGGGCGCCAAAGGGAGCGAGGCGGGTGCTCCTGACCGTGGGCTTTCGCGGCGCAGCTTCTAAAGCGTCCGTGGGTGGCTGGGCCGAGAAGGCGCCTGGGCAGCTCAGGTGCGAGCCGGGGCCGCGGTTCTGGGTGGGGAGGGGGCCTCGGGGCCGGCAGCGGTGGGAGTGCTCAGAGGCCGTCCGAAAAAAAAGTGGTTTCCACGTGGAAATCCGAGGTAGTAAATTAGGTAGTTAAGTGACCTCTTTTTGTTTGAAACTCAAGTTGGAATTAATGAGGTCAATCCGCTAATTAAATTAAGCCCCAGGAAGCGGGGAGGTAATTTGGGAAGTCTTCCGTTGGGGATGGCCCTGTGGCCTGTGCCTGGGGCTGGGCTGGCCCGGCTGCGAGGAGTCAACGGCGCCCTGCCCCTAAATCACCAGTGGTGACGACCTGCGCCTTGCTGGGCACCTGGGCGGGGCACCCCGGGGGTTTGGGGATGTCCAGAACAGACCCTGGAGGCAGCTGCTTTGGGGGAACCCGACTTTTCAAACCACTCCCAGGTGCTACCAAGGCTGCGTTTGGCTGTGCCCACTGAGGGTGCTCAGCACAGAGTGAGGGGCGGTCGATGTGGCCGCGCTAAGCAGGGGTTAATAAAGGTTCTCTGTGGATTTTCGCCTAGGAGGTCACCATGGCCTCTAGGAGGCTTGAGGGAGATCCTTGTTGAAACAGCAATTGGGCTGTTGAATAGTGGCTAGTGTAAAAACCGTAGGGGAACAATGTTCTAAAGGAGGGGGCCCCATTGTTATGCTGAGGACTAATGGTTTCCCAAGAAGGAGGAATGGGTGAAAGAGAGGGGGTCTTGCACCCCTTTGGAGGAAGGTACCACCGTCATTCAGACACAGAAAGTTCGGCACTGGTTAGACGCCAGAACTTCCCGCAGCCCCGCTGGGTGGGGCTGGGCATCCCCACGGTCTGCGGTCCCCAGGCTGTGCTGCCCAGCAGGAGGAGCCGAGTGGGCTTGTTTGGGGCAGGCGCAGCCCCTCTGCCGGAGGCTCTCCTGCCCGCCGCTCCTGAGCTCTGGTCTGGCAGAGTCCTGGGGGAGCAAACTCTCCCTCCACCCTCCCTGTCAGCAGCCCCGACGCTAGTTCAGACTTAAGTCCCAGGAGGCCCTTCAAAACAAATCCATGGAAACTAAATCCATGGAAAATTAATGGAGACTAATAAAACTCCCAGTTAAGGCACAGAGGGGCACTTGAGAGGTCCATCTGCAGAGGAGTTGAGGGATTTGTCAAGTCTGAGAATATTTAAGGGATTATGTGGCTGAGCTAGAAGTTGTCATGAAATTATGGAGGAATGAATTGTCCAATTTGATGTGTGGTGAATGTGAGGAAAGTAGACTGTTTGCTGTAGTGGAAAACATGTAGAAAATAATTGCAAAAGTGTGGGAGATCGGGCAGGGACGGGAGGATGGGGCACACTTGCTGGCTGAAGCACGTAACTTTACCTGCCTGCACCTGGCTGCTCCTGTGCACACCTGCCTGCACCTGGCTCTGACCTCTTGGCCCTGGGCAAGTTCCTTCTCTCCTTGCGCCCCAGTGTCCCACCTGTAGGTTGAAGGGTCAGGTCAGGTCATCCCCACCTGGACAGTGTAAAAGCCTTTGCCTGTGAAGTGCTGGCTTCCACAATCCCAACCCGGGAGCCCCTCCAGAGGGCCAGGCGTGGATGGCCGCCGAGTGCAGCAAGCATCTGGTTAATCTAAGCCACAAAGTATTCATGTTTTTCCCAGGACAGAGAGGTTGGTTATGTTTCACATCTCTCAACAGTAGGATGTCCTAGTTTCTAATTCTCTGTAAGATATTCTTCCTGGGAAGTCCTGAGGTACTCTGTGCTCAGGGGGTAACCATAACCGGAGTGACTGATGGCTAAATGCTTCAGGGTTTACAGGACAAAAGGACAGCTCATTCAATGTGGGCTGTGACATCTTTCTGCAAGCTCATTCAAGCATCATCGGGCATGCTGGGGGTGCAGGAAAAGGCAGCTTATGTAGACAGAACCAGTTTTAAAACCAAGCCAAGCGGGTTACTTCCCTTTCCCTGAGCAGAAACGAACACAAGGTGCTCTGTGTCATGTACGGCTCTGGGCCCACCAGGAGCAGAACTGCTGAGAAGCCTGGCTTCAAGGGCACAGTGTTTGAAGGCCCAAGGCACCGACTCGGACAGGTGATGGGGGTGGGGGTGGGGAAGGTGCTCCCCCAAAGCTGGGATACCTTCTTAGGGCCTTGAGTGAGGCCTGACTCTGCTGCGTTGTGCTGGGGTTCTGAGCTTTTCACAAGAGGTTTTTAAAGACTTGAAAGATGTTGCCGCCTAGTCATTACAACACTGAACTGGATATCTCTAAACGGACACAAAAAAACTGGGACATAAGCAGGATACTGTCCTTAAAATGCCAAAGGGTGGTGCTCTCACAGAAAGCTGTTGCTGGGCAACAGCAGATCGGAGTGCCTGGAGGGGTGGCGGAGGGATGTCCACTTGGGTGGACAGGCCAGTGGAGGCCTAAGGTCCCCAGGCAACTATTTCTTTTCCTTTTAAATTGAAGTATAGTTGATACACAATATTTTATTATATTAGTTTCAGGTGTGCCACATAGTGACTTTGACAGTTTTATACATTCCAGCATGCTCACCATGACAAATGTAGCTACCATCTGTCTCCATGCCAAGTTATTACAATACTGACCATATTCCCACGCTGTGGGGAAGTATTTCTTGAAGACAGAATGGCGTTGGCGCTTGAGCCCTCAGTGGGGACAGCAGAAATGTGCTCACAGCTGAGTTCTGGCCAGCTGCCTCCTCGGCTATGCACAGGGTGCTTCTAGAATTCCAGGAAGGGGCTTTTGGGGGGTGGGAATCTGGTTGGAAGGGGCGGTATCCTGGGGACTTGTCTTTGAGTTGGGTTATAGGACAAACGCACCACTTTAGAATGGATGATACACTTTACTGGGGCTCATGGGGACTGATGTGAGCCACGGGGCGGTAAGGCCATCCCCACCCCCTGTACGCCCCATCTTGGACCTGCCTCTGAGAGATCAAAGAATGTCGGAGTATTCTGACCACCTGTTCCCTCTGCAGGATCCTCTGCTCCTGAGTCAAAGAAGTCAGGCCTGCACAGTCCTGCCAGGACTCCATTCTTCCTGCTTTAAGGATTATTATTTGATTGATTGCCTCCTTTATTCATTCAACAAATATTTTATTAAGTCTGCTGCTTAGGGACTCAGAGGAGAGAAGCCGTTTGCATCTGGCAGGTGCCCTCAAGGAGTTAGAGTATTTACTCCATGGGTGTTCTGAAATATTTAGGCCCCAAACACAACTTTTTTTCTTTTTTTTAAACCTAAGGGCTTTCAAATACTTCTTTGAAATGTGGGGCAATTATGCAAGCAGGAAAAAAAAAAGTATCTAGAGCAAATATTTAACTTTGCCTTTGGTATGTTGAAGTCACTGGCCCGTACAAATCTTTCAGGCATGTCCTGTGAGGTTGACTATATATAATATATAATTTTTTTTTCCAGGGGGAGACACAGATTGGGGTTTTGTGCAGTGGAAGGTTCCCAGTACTGGAAGCTGTTGTCCTACATCGCAGCCCGGAAGCTGGTTTTGCTCCTCTAAGCCTGGGACTGGGGCTTGTGGTCAGGAAATGCTCTTCCCCCCAGAATTCTGGAACACTCCAGAGCCTGCTTGCAGACACACAGCTCATACAGAGTAGTAACCTGTGAATTATCAGGGTCTTGGGGAAGGTTAGTAACTGATTGCTCATGCATCAGGGTGGGAGGGGTAAATCGACAGCGTCCCAGCTCCCGTGGGAGCCCGGGGCCAGGGGATCCTGGCATCCCCCTTGGGTTCTGGTGAACTAGCCATCCCGGAGTCCTAGATAGTAGGACTCCCGGGCGTCCGGAGGGTGCCTTTTCGCCTCTGGGCTTTGTCTGAGCGGCTGGCTTTTACTCCCCGACCCCGGAATCTGAACTTGGCTGGACAGTGCTCTGAGCGCCCCAGGATGGGGGGAGGCCGGGGAAGCAGATGGCGGCGGGTCTGCGGCGCGAAGTTTGCCTGCGCTCTGCACTCGCTCTGCTGTGCGGTCGGCCTCCGTATTTCCGAATTCTATTAACGTAACACACTCCGGGCCGGGAGCCGGCTGTGCTCGGGATAATCGCGCGGAGTGAGCCGGCCTTCAGAAAATTAAGGGACTTTCTGGTCCGCTGGCTGCCGGGGAAAGTGGGGCGGCGGGCCCCGCCGCCGGGGCGGGGCGGGGCGCGGCGGGAGGCGGCCCTGGGCGCCCGCCGTCTCCCGGGGTTGCCACAACAGAGCGAGCGGCCGCCGCGCGGGAGCGGCCGGGGCAGGTGCGGGCTGCGGGCGGCGCGCGGGGAGCGGGGAGCGGGGAGGGTCGTGCACGCGGGCCGGGCGGCACGGGGCCCCTCCCCCTCCCTCCGCTCGCCAGCCCCCGCCGCCCGCGCCCGGCGGAGGGGAGGGGCCCGGCGGCCGGCGCGAAGCCCCCAGCCCGGCCGAGGCGCGGGGCGGGGCCGCGGCGTCCCCTCCCCGCAGGCACCTGGGCGGCGGCGGCTCCCGCGCTCCGGCGGGGCTGGGTGCGGCGCCGCTCGGGTCCCCGCCGCGGAGCCAGGTGCGCGCGGACGCCGGCCGTCCCTGGGGGGGCTCCGGCGCGCCCTGACTCGCCGAGCGGCCGCCGGAGCAGGTAAGGCGGGGGGACGCGGGGCGCTGCGGGCGCCGGGCAGGGGTGGTTGGGCACCCCGCTCGGGCGGGCAAGGACAGTAGGGGGGGTCCCCGGGTGCTGACCCTGCTCACCGGCTGCATTTTGGGTGCGTCTGCATTCCAGGAGCCCCAACCGTGCAAGCGCCGTCCAGAACCCGTCAGTGTCTGGGTACGGGGGTTGGGAGAGGGTTCCGCGCGACCGGGTGGGGGTCGCTTCAACGTGGAGACCCCCTACCCCGGGACTCTGGAGTAGGGGCTGTTTTAAACGGTTTGGGAGCGGCGTGGGCGCAGAGTGCAGGAGCAGCACCCCATGTGTCCCCTACGCCCACGAAGCCCCTCACCCTCAGCGCGCGGAGCGCCCCCCTCCTGGGGCAACGCGGGCGGACCTGCCTCCATCCCCCGCCGGGGTCCCTTTCTCTAGGTCGGGGGCCTCCAGCCTGGGGACTTGGGCTCACATGCCCGGCGGAGGAACCGGCGTGCGGCCGCCAGGGGGCGCGCGGGAGGCGGGACCCAAGCTGAGGTCGCAGGGTCCCCGGAGGCCCCGCTGTGGTCACCGGACCCCGCACCGGTGCCCAAAGACCCCATTCGTAGGCGCGCGGCTGGAGCAGCGGGCTCGGGAGGCCGGGGCCGGCGCAGGCCCGGGGGGTCGCGGTTGGGCCCCCCGACCCCGGGGTCGCGCAGAGCACTCTCCAGGTGCCGGGCCTCTGCCCGCAGCGCGCGGCGGCCTGGGTTGGGGGGCCCGGCTGGTGCAGGTAAGCGGCCCCCGCACCCCGCCGCCGCTGCCCGTGAATTATGCAGGAGGCTGGCACTGGTGCGCTCGAGTTGCTCAAGTTTCCCTGGCAACTTTCGCCTGGGCATCGCTCCTCCCGGCGGCCGGGCAGCTCCGCCCGCGCAGCCGGTGGCCCGGGCGCCTCCGCAGGGTGGTCAGGACTGGAGCACCTGGAGGCGCCAACCGCGCACTCGCCACCTGAGCTGGGTCCACCGATTGCGCAACAGGTGAGACCTCCGCCCAGCGTGGAGGGGGCGGGGGCCGTGGTGGACCTCCGTGGGGAAGGGTGTGCTCCGTGGGAGAGCCTCGCCGCCGGGTTCGGAGGGTGCGGGAGCCGGGGTAGACCTCGCGGCCCAGGAGGTTGGCGGGTGCAGGCCCGCGGCGTGCCGCCCTTCCCGCGGGCCTGCTTGCGGGCGAGGTGGTGTTTCCATAGAGCCGGGGGCGCCAAAGGGAGCGAGGCGGGTGCTCCTGACCGTGGGCTTTCGCGGCGCAGCTTCTAAAGCGTCCGTGGGTGGCTGGGCCGAGAAGGCGCCTGGGCAGCTCAGGTGCGAGCCGGGGCCGCGGTTCTGGGTGGGGAGGGGGCCTCGGGGCCGGCAGCGGTGGGAGTGCTCAGAGGCCGTCCGAAAAAAAAGTGGTTTCCACGTGGAAATCCGAGGTAGTAAATTAGGTAGTTAAGTGACCTCTTTTTGTTTGAAACTCAAGTTGGAATTAATGAGGTCAATCCGCTAATTAAATTAAGCCCCAGGAAGCGGGGAGGTAATTTGGGAAGTCTTCCGTTGGGGATGGCCCTGTGGCCTGTGCCTGGGGCTGGGCTGGCCCGGCTGCGAGGAGTCAACGGCGCCCTGCCCCTAAATCACCAGTGGTGACGACCTGCGCCTTGCTGGGCACCTGGGCGGGGCACCCCGGGGGTTTGGGGATGTCCAGAACAGACCCTGGAGGCAGCTGCTTTGGGGGAACCCGACTTTTCAAACCACTCCCAGGTGCTACCAAGGCTGCGTTTGGCTGTGCCCACTGAGGGTGCTCAGCACAGAGTGAGGGGCGGTCGATGTGGCCGCGCTAAGCAGGGGTTAATAAAGGTTCTCTGTGGATTTTCGCCTAGGAGGTCACCATGGCCTCTAGGAGGCTTGAGGGAGATCCTTGTTGAAACAGGAATTGGGCTGTTGAATAGTGGCTAGTGTAAAAACCGTAGGGGAACAATGTTCTAAAGGAGGGGGCCCCATTGTTATGCTGAGGACTAATGGTTTCCCAAGAAGGAGGAATGGGTGAAAGAGAGGGGGTCTTGCACCCCTTTGGAGGAAGGTACCACCGTCATTCAGACACAGAAAGGAGCCCTTTCTGACTGAGGCGATGCCACCTGTACTGGTGGTCCCAGGGGGCACCGTCCACAGCACGTTGCAGCTTCCATCTGGGGCTGGGGGGCTATTTCTGCCTGATGTCTCCCATTTACTTTAGAAACCCATTCATCCTCTGTGAGTCTCCCACAGGCTTTGAGGGCTCAGCGAGTGCTTGGGGTTGTGTGCAGGGCCCCCCCAGCTGACGTGGGAGGGATCACCATTCCATGTGACTCGGTCCAGGGCCCTGTCTAGGAGCCCGGACCATTGAGGGTCAGAGGTCAGGTGGTAGGAATGCTGGCAGGAGGACTGTCAAGTTCTGAGACGGCGCTGCGTTGGATTTTTCACCAGCGATGGGGAAAAAATGGGAGAGCTTGAAATGGAAAGACATGCCAGGAGTTGACCAACGTACAGGAAAACACTAGTAAACAGAGTTTTTTAAATAGAAAAATAATTCTTTATATCACTTCTTTATATCTAAATGCATAGTAGAGCAGTATTCTGATGTCATCTTAGCCGAGAAAGGGGGGCTCTTCCAAAGCAGGACTCAGTTGGGAGTTGCCGGGGAGGCCAAGGTGGTACCTCACCTACCGAAATCTGGAGGCGAGGCTCCAGTTTGGATTCCAGCTCCTGACCCCTGAACTTGCATTTCTCTGGAATTCCAGCCTCCTGGAGCTTTGTAAACTCATGGCCCAGCCTCACCCAAGGCTGTCTGATCTGGAGCCTGAGAACTCCCCTCCCCCTGGCACCCCCACTGAGGGGTGGGGGGGGGGTCATGCCTTAACAGCCTCCTCAGGACGTGCAGTTGTCCTGAGCCTGAGGGAGAGAATGTTTAGGATCTTTCGCCATCAAAGTGATCTTTGGAAAATGTATGGAATCCTCTGCTTTGACAGAGGGGTGCTGGCCGAGAGGTGGGGAGGAAAGCCTCCCAAAACAAAGGCCAGTCTTTTTCATCTTTGGAGCTCCCAGACCCTCACCTGGGCACTGGTTGAAAGACTGTGGCCTGATTGGGTGACAGGCTCAGACCTGGAGCCGGGGCCAGGTGACCCCATGACCTGGCCAGGGCCTCTGGCCTGCCCACCTGAACGTGGTGATGTAGGGGATTATGATTTTCACTTCATTTGCATAAAATGGGCTGAACAAATAGTCACCAGTGGGCCAGAGAACTTCCAGGCTAGTGGGAGAAGAGAAGGGACAGTGGGACGTGTCATGGTAGAGGTGACTCTTGGGGCTGCAGGGCACAGAGAGCTTCCCCAGCCCAGTCTGGGGGACAAGAGGTGAGCCATGTAAGAACCTGTGAAGAGGCCTGGGCTGTCTGGTGATTTCTTTGCCTGCATTGCCCTGGGACCTGGGCAGAAATGGTCTATTTGTCCTTCCCAGGGTGGGGCCATCCTGACAGCCAGCAGCTGCCACAGTGACAGCCACTGTTCCTCCTTGCTGAGTGCCTTCTGCCGGGCAGCCGTTGCCCTCTTGCTATGGAGGAGCTCATTCAGGTCTCCCAAAACTCCATGCGGTGAGTGGTGTAGCTGATGATTGAACGCTCTCCTGGTGCAGATGAGGCCACCTGCCACAGGCCTGGCAGGGAGGGCTAGGGAGCCCGGCAGCCTCAGGGAGAGCCAGCCTTAACCGCCCCCACCCCCATGGCTAACATGCCCACCACCTAGGGAGAAAATTCACCCTATAGAAAATTTCTTCCCGGTACTGCCAGAAGGAGCTACCGTCAACACACCAAAGATCAGCCTTGATGTGAAGGGTCTTTGTTTCTTTGAAAGTGGATTCAATAAATGTTTTGAATTGACTAACGAATGTTATTGTCGGTTCCAGGGGTAGTATTGAGGTCCGCCTTTGGGGACCAGGAATCTGGCAAGTTTCCTGCTTCATTTCTGTGTGCAAAATTCAGCTCCCCAGCCACCCTAGAACAATCCCCCGCTGTATGCCTTTCTTCCCTCCCCAGGTTCTGACCACCGTTTGCTAGACTTGCTGTGCATTTTTAAGCCAGCACCTAAAATTGTCCTTCATACGTTTAAATATTGGCAGAAGACGTAGTCTCTCATCTGAGAGGTCACAGTTGACATTTTTAAGTAACTGCTCCCCAGCCCTGCCTGGGCCCTACCAGTAAAGCCACAGTGATTGGACACCCACCTTCCCTTGACAGATGCTGAAGGAGCTCTCCAGAATGTTCCTTGTCCTCTTCGCTTCTTGAATTTGTGCCGCCTCTTCCTTCAGAGAACTTCATCCTAAGACAATAAATAGACTTCCATGCTTGTAAGTCTTTTATTAATCCATCTAGCATATATCTCTGCAAGGAAAATATGCATCATGTGACTTCTAAAAACATTTCCTGTGATCTCAAGTCGATTAAGTATTCAGAAACCACTTCAGGATTGAGAAAGCGGCCTGCTCAAATCCTAACTACGGTTCTGATGGTTGGAAATGGAGAAAGGCCAGTGTTAGGGAAATGCATCCTAGCTGCAGGCAGGGCTGTTTGGTGTTTTAATTAAAGCCCTTGTTGTTTGGCTTTGTTTGGTGTGGGGAGTCCTGTCCGGTGGGGGGGCCACCCCACCCCACCCCTCACTTTGAGGCTGAGAGGGGACAGGAAGGCCTTTCTTATGTAAAAGTGGGAGGGGCTGCCCGGAAGTCTGCCTGAAGGCCTTAGTGCCCGAGAAGACTGAGCTAGGGGCTCCCCTTAGGCCACGCCCTTGGAAAGGGTCCACATCCCAGTTTGAAGCCCCCTGTGGAGGAGAAGAGAGAAATGGGTAAGATTCTGCCCCGCCTTCAAGGTCGTCCTGGGTGGGGGGGTTCTGACCTGGGGACAATGTGGACACCTAGGTGACAGTAGAGACAGATGATACCACCTGCGTGCGCCCCAGAGGTCAGGCCCTGCAGACTGGGGTGCCTACCCCGGACTGTCCCCCTCGGGGTTCTGGCCAGTGAGTCCCACTTTCTGGCTGGCCAGGTGCTTTCCAGGGGCTTTGAGAGCCCCCTGGGAGGTCTGACCTTGCTGAGAGGAAGGGAGCAGTTGCCAGGGGGCTGGGTCCCCGGAGGCCCGGGGCGCAGGGAGAGGGTCGCACATCCTGAGCAGAGCAGAAGGCCCGTCTGGGCGGAGGGCATGGGGCCCCCGCCCAGGGGGAGGGCGGCGTGTTGGTGGGGCGCCTCGGCTGTGCCCTGGTGCTGGGGCTGAGTTTGGTCCTGTAGTTTTTGTTCCTGCTGCGACCCAGAATTGAAGGGTAGAGGCGCAGTAGTGAGGTGAGCAAAAGTTTCATTTGAATACACTCCCTAAGGGAGGGGCGGGAGGGTCAGGATCGACAGGGGCAGCTTTACTTGGAGGAAGCCGAGCAAGGGGAAGCTCACTGACCGGAACCTGCAGGCCCAAGTCAGGAGCTCTCGGCTGCCCCTCCCTGCTTATCTGAAGTAGGACAGAGAGAAGGCTTCAAAAACTACACGCTCCGAGAAAGGGGGGTGCGGGCAGCCTCGGAGAGGGGGCGCCCTTCCCTTCGGGGCTTAGGATTCTGTCTTTTAAGGCTTTCAGGAATGGGGCGAAGGGCAGGGTGGGGGTTTTTGGGCGTAGGCTTGACTTGTCTCATGATGTCTCTTCTGAGAGACATCATGTCGCCGTCCACAGTCCCCGCTGATAATCTGTAAGACAAACGTCCTGTTCTTCCCCAGGACGGTGGTTCCCCTGCAGCGCTGGGAACAGCGCACTTAGAACTGCCTGCCCTGCCTGAAGACCGGGTGGGTTATTGTCTGGTCACCAGAGACTATGTTACAGGGCTCTTGCCTCTTGACTCCTTGGTTTTTTTAAAAAGGAATCTTGGCCTCAAAATGGAGCCCCTCCTGTTCTTACCATACTGTGTGTATCTCGGCATCTTTCATCACAGGCGGGAAGAGTTAATCACCATGCCGCCCAGTGTCCCTGCCCCACCTCACCTGCATCAGGTAGCGCAGGTCTCAAGGTCAGCCCAGGTTCAGAGCGTGTGGAATGGCCTCATACCGAAGAGGTGGCAACTCTGAGCCCTTCGACTCTGAGCCCTTCCTGGCTCGTCGGCCTTACCTGATTGGCTCCCTGGGTTCTAGGTTGGGTCCCAGCCTCTTTCATCCTGCTGCTGATGCCTGTCTTTCTGCCTGACAGTCATCCCCCCCAAGGCCCTGGGCACAGCCACTCCTGTCTGGGGTTTTCTGCCCGCCCCTGCCCCCCCAGATCATGTTCTTTCCCGGCTTTGATGAAGTGTTCTGTGTTGGGGGCCCGGCAAACTGCAGGCACCTGTCCCACGGGGCGCAGGTCCCAGGAAAGGACCTGGTCTTGCTACTTTGTATCTCAGGATCCTAAAGGGGCACCAGGAGTGGGGTGTGGCCCCGGTCGGCCCTTGGGGATGTTTGTTGACTAGAACATATTGGCCAGGCCAGTGGTGAAATAGCAGACTTTTCCCTCCAAATGTGTATTCAACTCCACGAAGTCCCAAAACCAGTCAGGTCACTCTGAGGTTTTCACTTGGGCCCTGCCTGGGGCTGCCTTCAGCCTCGGCAGCTCTGCCGCAGACCTTGGGGATGTCATGTCCCTGGGCAGGTGGCACGGGAACATCCGTCCGCCACGATTGCACCCTTGCTGTTTACTGAAGCTGGGCTTGTGGCGACGGGGCGGGGGCAGCAAACGGCTGTGATTAAATAGTGATTTTTGTCCAGCACGGAGTTCAGAGAGCTGGGAATGGCATTCCTGCAGACGGTTCCGGCGAGGCCTGGTGCATGCTGTTAATAATTCCCCAAACACCCGGAGAACACATTTTTGCTTTCCTAGAGCAACTGCATGGTCCAAAAGTATGTGGAATTAGGAGGCACGGCCAGTGGCTGGAGGAAAGGAAACAGGGCCTGTCTGTCCTGTGGCTGCCTGGCTTTTTTGTGTTTGAATTGTTTGGGCTCCCCTCTGGGGATGGCCCAGGCCAGAGTGACCGGCGGGGTGAGTGACCGGCGGGGGTTTTTGTCCTGAGTCTGGCAGGATTCCTCCTGGAATGATGCTCATCTCTGTTGATCTGCCTTATTTGGACTGTGGGGGATGGACACCCTCTCAAACCAGGTTAAGGGGGTGTGTCTCGGGGACATGGTGGGGGTAGCTCATATCATTACCCCCATTTTCCAGGTGAGCAAACCGACACAGAGGGAGTTTACCTACTTGCTGGAAGTCACGTGGTCAAGCCAGGCCCCCTGTCCCTGGCAGCCACCCACTCCGCTGTGCACAATTCCACCAGTCCCCCCTCCAGTCGGCTCCTGGGGGATGTACACGTTAGTCTCATGCTCACCTTTACGAGGAGTGGGTCAGGTAGCACTGGGCTCTCAGACTCTCCCTCTAAGGACTCCTTTACCATCTTCAAAGAGTTTTTAAGGCTCCCAGAGAGCTTTTTGCGTATATGCATCGTATTTATTAATATTTATCCTGTTAGAAATTAATTTAAACATACTTAGTTATTAATGTATTTTAAAATGACAATAATAAACCCATTACATGTCAATGTAAATAACTTGTTTTTATGGAAAACAGCTCTTTTGCAGAGTAAGAAAAGCCTTAGAAGTGTGGTTTTGAGACACATTGTTGCAAAGTCTCTTTACTGTGAGGTTTAGGGGAAGATTGCTGGAGTCTTGTATCTGCTCTGCATTCAGCCTGTTGGAATATCACATGTTTTGTGGCTTCTGGAAAACTCCATCATACGCTTGGGAGAGGGGGAGAGTGAACAAACAGCTAATATCTTAGTATTATTATGGAGATGGCTTGACTTCACAGACCCCCTGAATGGACAGGGGGCTCCCCCAGGGTTCCTTGGCCATTGGGAACTGCCGGAGGAAGCATGGGACCAGCGACATGGACAGGGTGGGGTTTGAAGATGGCCTTGCCCTGTAGTCGGGTGGATGGTTCCAACAATGTGTCCCTTTTCTTGTCGTTCCAGATGCATCTGTGACGTTTAGCCGGGAGCTCCACAGGGTCATCAGGTGGCAGGCCTGCTGGTGGCAGAGGCCGAGGGTGTGGGCTGTGGGCTGTGGGCTCAGGGAACGCAGGCAGCTGGTTCCATCCACAGCTGGGGTTTGAAGGGATGAGGCCAATTAACTATTTAAGATGTAACTTGTGTATCCGATGTCACCAAAAGCTGCATTGTGCAGTGATGACAGCTGGGGAGCCATGCAGCTCCTTTGACAGCTTTGGAAAGACAAGAAGGCTGTTTTCAGTGAGGTGCCTGCATGTGGAAGGCACCTGCAGAAGGGGGTGGCATCAGTGGGGACAGCCACCTGGGAGGAGAGCATGCACGGCTCTGGAAGCCACGATGGAGTGGGTGTCCCTGCAGAGATGGGGCTGTGGGTGCAAAGGGGGGCCGCAGATAGACAGCCCTTCTGAGCCTTGGCCCCCCAGGCCCAGGCAGGGAGCACGCAGCTGCCATCACTCAGCCGTTGGCCATCTGGGCCGTGCTGGCTTGGGTCTGTCTGTCTGGGCATTCTGCCGGGTCGGGCTGAACCGGGGTGAGAATCGTCCCCGGGAGCCAGAGGGGAGAGGAGTGTGGGGGAAAGAGTCCAGAGAATCCTAGACTGGCCGCTGTCCCCAGCTCGTCTGGTACCCACTGAGGTGAGAATATCCGCCGGCACTGGCCTGGCCCCTCCCTGCCCTGCACTCCCTCTGGGCTCCTCGGTAGAGGAGGCCGCCTGGGCTCTGGGAATCAGAAGAAGTTGGTTGCTCAGCTGCCCGGGTGCTTGGGGGAGACCCAGGCACAGGGCACCGAGCCGCCCTGGGCGTTGGTTGATAAGGGCCATCCACCCCGGCTTGGAGGAGGGGCCTGAGGTGTGGCTTAGTGGCTGAGCTCTGTCATCTCTGCAGGGTGTGGTGGGGACAGCAAAGGCAGCCTTTCAGAATGAGACAATGCTTTGCAGACAAGGACTGTGCCGGTCCCTGCCCCCACGCTGTCCCCAAGCCTGGACAGATGTTTGTGGAATGAGTAAGTCACAGAAGTAGGCCTTGGTCACCAAGTGCATAACGGGCACCACCTCCGTATTTTGTCCTGCACCAGCGCCAGCCCCTGTTGGCAGCAGGCAGTCTGAGCTCCCTGCCGGGTTAATGACATTGGAGCAGCGGAACGGCGAGCAGGCTCGTGGTTGTTGGTGTGTTGGTTCAGGTGTGGTGTAAGGTCAGCCTTCGGGTTTGCGTTTGTTCCAGGTTAGCTTTGTGGCTGAACAGTTCTTGGCCCTCATGACTTCCTTCCAGACTTGAGTGACTTCTTGTCTCCACTCTAAAT